GGGGAAACGGATAAAGGAACTTACTGGGAATGCACGAAATCTCGACGTCGCCCGTACAGAGTCCGGCTTCGAACAGATTAGAATCCTCTACCAATTTGGGTCCGGCACGTTCGTCCTCGCCCTTTTGCAACAACTCAGTCAATTGGAGAACGAACGACTCTCTCAACTCAGGAACGAGCGAAGGGTTGGCTGAAACAACGAACTTGACCTGTTAGGTCGGACAAAAAATAACCAAAAATTAGGAGAGACAAACGAGAAATAGAAAGCATAGACTCACAAATCTTTGCAACGAATCTCGTCGGAACGGTTAAAAATTCAAAAGCTCCCGGATCATCCGGAGACTTCTGTGTCTGCCAGCTGCGTCCGACCCAAAACCACGAAGATTTGAATTTGCTGATCGTCTCTGGGACTTTGGTGATGAGATCCCTAAATCTCGTATCCCGAACGGATATAGAGAACTGTCCGGATTTCTTTCTCGTTTCTTTCATCAGGAACAGCGCACGAATGTCATCCGGAGTCGGCATCTCCCAACCTTGTTGACTGAACAATACGAGCAGACTAATGATTTTCAGCCAGGCGATCGGAGAAACCTGGCTAAAACCGACCCCCCAGTCTCTCAGGTATTCGGTTAGGATACGAGGGAGTGGGAAACGGACCCCGAAAGCAACCGAACACTCGAACACGCCGATATAGCCGGGTGGCGGACAGTGAACCCGTTCCCGACTGTAGGGCGCAAACATCTTGATGTCACGAGGGAGCCGGATGGAGGTTCGGACCTTGACCACCTTATCGTCCGTCATGTCGCTGGGGATGTGAGCCAGTCCGAAAACGCTCGTTGACGGCCACTCGCGGTATGGACGACGCCAGTATCCGCTTGGAACGGACACGACTGCTTGTTCTATCCGGTGATCCTCATCCGGACTCTCTAGTTGGAGTGGGAGTCTTATCCTGCCCGTCGTGTCACCTTGAAGGGCTTCCTCGTACTGCTCCTCGTTGTAACTTTTGGACGTAGACGAAGCCTCGGCACTCATATTGACTAACAGATAGGAGAAATAAGGAGAAGAAGAGAAAAAATTACCTTCCAGCGGAAATTAGACCACATGAAAAAGAAAGTCGAACGGATGCACGGGTCGATCGGTTAGAAGAATAGGGAGAAGTCAGAGTAATTTTAAATGAGGAGAATAGTGTGGGATATTTCGAAAGGGAGAAGACATATTTATACTGTCCAAAAAGGGAATGAAGAGACACGATGATTAAGGTACGATACAATGTGTCAGACGAAGCGATTCGCATACGCCATTAAAACAGGGGCTCCCAATAAAAAGGCGACACGTGTGAAATAGAAGTTACTCTAGAAACCGTCGAAGAAGGAGACGCGCCTTTTTGGGAGAAGGTAACCATCACTGAAGATACGCGCCTGTTGGGATTAGAGGACGACCGGTCGGAAGAAGAGAAGGAGGCGGGGACGTTCGGTTCATCAGGAATATGCAGATTCGGACATTATGACCGGAGACTGTACCTAACGTGATGCCCGAATCAGGGGGCTTTGTTGGTGGTACAGACCGAACGAATGGTGGTAAGAAAAAGGAAGGAACCGGATGCCCCCGGGATCGAGCCACTGCCGAACGGATGGGAGAGAATAAGCGAGATCTGTTTAATCATTACAAGAGCCAGTCGTACTGCGCGCATTAAATGCGGAGATACATAAAAATCTTTTATCCGACGGCAAAGGAAAAATAGGGACGCGTGGCACGATCCGGACGACTCTCAGATATTGGGAAAAGATTATCAAGTACAATTAGCATTAAATGCTGAATGACTAATATCTAAAATATCCTGTAAAAAGGAAATGTAAAAATCCCCAAGAGGGAAATGTAAAGTCCTTAAACTTCCTACAAAAAGGAGGGGAGGGCATCATTTAATGCAATGAGTAAATGCTCTCATTAATTACTCAATAAGTCACGGATAGACTGAGCATTCGGACCAGTAAAATTAAACCGAATCACAAACATAAATTCTGTTCGTGCAGACCGAACAGAGTACACATCTTAGTGTACAGTTCGAACACATTGTTGGTCATTTTTAGACATCAACACAAAGCATGATCGACTTTATTTGGAAATTCATTGTGTGTTGGTTTTTGTTTGAAAATGCATTGTGTGTTGGTTTAAAGTTCCCAACTTGGTCGTGACGGACAATAAGAGACAACTCGATATCCGACGATTTTGATCCTTTTGCGAGGAGCTCCACATCAGAAATCATTACGCCTCTCCCTATCACCCTCAATCTAATAAGAAAGTTGAATTCATTAATAAGATTATCAAACAAGGCCTAAAAACCCGCTTAGAAGGAGCCAAAGGCTCTTGCCCGACGAACTCCTTAGAATTTTGTAGTCTTATAGAACCACAACGCGATTGGAAACTGGAATAACTCTATTTTATCTCACATATGGAGCCGAATCTATGGTTTTTGTTGAGCTGAAGTTTTCTAATTATCGAGTACAACGTTATGACAAAGCCAACAATGATATTTATCTCCATGCTGATCTCGACCTAGCCGAAGAACTTAGATGATCGACTTACTTAAAAAATGCCGCATATAAATGACAGAGTGAGAGGTATTATAACTCAAAAACTAAGTCCAAGACATTTGGAGAAGGCGATCTTTTCCTTCATGATTTATTGGCCCTGATTTAGGGTCGTTGAAGCCTAAGTAGGAAGGTCCCTACCGGATCAACAAAGTGATCAACAATGGAGGATACAACATTGAAAACTTATAAGGCCAAATCTATGAGAGACTTTTGAATGTTTTCTATATGAAAAAAATATTATCAGTGAAAGATTGTATGATCTACAAATAACTCGCAGTTAGCATAGTCATAAACCCGCTCACGGTTGGCAAAAACTGGAAACCCGCTCAATGCTCACCGTCGGCAAAGCCGTAAACCCGCTCACAAACAACTCGCGATTGGCATAACCATAAATTGGCTCGTGGTTGGCAAAAGCCATAAACTTTCTCAATGCTCACGGTCGACAAAGTTGTAAACCCGCTCACAAACAACTCGTTATCGACACGGCCATAAACCTGCTCTCAATCGGTAAAGTTCGTAAGCCAGCTCACAAACAACTCGCGGTCGGAGCAGTCATAAACCCGCTCGTGGTCGGAAAAAGTCGTAAGCCCGTTCACATACAACTCACGATCGGCACAACCGTAAACCGCTCGCGATCGGGAGAAGTCGTAAACCAGCTCAATGTCTGCTGTCGACAAAGCCGTAAACCCACTCACAAACAACTCGCCCAATGCTCACGGTTTGCATAGCCATAAACCCACCCATAGGTATTTGCGGTCGATAAAACTATAAATTTGCTCACAAGTACTCACAGTCAGCAAAGTCATAAACCCGCTTACGATCGCTCAGGTTGTTTGCAAACATGTAGCGCACCAAATATAACAACAATTCAAGGCTTATCGCCAATAATGTAGGCCACAACATACCCTTTTTGTCCAAACAACATTTAAAGTAAAGCTCGTAGCAGCAAAAGTCTCATTCATAAACCCTTCAAAAATTACATCAAAGAAGGCCACTCTTGGCCAAAGTTTTCATACAACATTTGACTTTTCACCACGAGAAATGTCATGTCCACATCAACATCGGTCTGTAATCGACAGTTGTTGTTTCAACTAACGGGGATTGCTCCGAGACACTTGAGTCTTCTCAGAAGGTTTCACGCCCAAAGGCGTTGGCGTCCTCCCTTCTTTTGTCGACATCTTTAAATTCGAGTCTTCATCACTCTCTTCATCATATGTCAGATCCATGTGGTTCTTTTCCTAAGTCTAGACCTCCATGGCAAAATCCAAGGATTCGCCTCTTTTCAGCATCTTCAGCACTTCCCGAATATTGACCACCTGGATCATTTCTAATAGTTCGTCCACTTTCGCAACCTAATCGACCTTAAAGACCTAGTAACCATATGCGCTTGTCGATCTTTTGGCCTTCTGTGGAGCCGATTATCTTCCCATGTTCAATGCCAAGAGCTCTCCCTTTGGCAAATGTTTGATTGTTGATCTCTGTCAGATGGTTCACCTAGGCCTTCTCGGCTTCTAGTTAACGATTCATACTCACCATGACTTCCCGATGGAATTACAACTCCTCGGCATGATGCCGCTCCAAGTTGTCATTTTCCCTTTTCAAGACCACCAAATGGTTCTCATATAGGGATTTGCTATCCCCTGCCGTCCTCTCAAGGCGCTCTGTTTTGGCCTTCGCGATCCCAAGCTCATCAGTCAATTTTTTACTTTTAACCTTGGCAATCTCCAGCTGCCGAACCCTATCGCCCTTCTGGGCCTCACAAGACGCATGTGCAGGCTTAACCAGCTATGCCTCCATGTTCATCACAAACTTCTTCAATCTCATAAGCAAGGGACCCCATTTCCATAGCCATATGGCCTATCGACCATTGAAGCCTCCCGTCTGCTTTTATGTCCCTAACTTGTGCATCTGTTGCCGGAGTTCACACCATCAAGAGCATTTGAGCTGCATCTATGAATTGCTTTGGGATAGCATACGGATTCAGGATTTCCGAGAGAGACGATCCCACGAAACTATAATACCAGTTTGGCCTCTTTCCCATAATGCCCCACACGAGCTCCTCCATCAAAGGATCGTGAGGGAGGTAGCCGATCTCCAAGCATCCCGCATCAGACGGCCTTGCACGTTCTCCTTCAAGACCCAAACTCACATTAATATTGTTTTCTTGTAACAGAATAACGACTTAAGCTATAAAACGCATTTTGCATGCACTTCTCAAGTAGTCAAGTGAAGGCAACATAATAACAGAATCGGCCTTCCAAAATAATAATAATTACGACTCGAACGCCTCCCACCACCGTTGTTGCCGCCGCACTTTCTCTCTCCTCCTTCCACCGTCCACTCCGGCGCTGAACCCAACCCTCTAAAATCCCCCATGAAATGGCCCCACCAAGTCTCCCCAAAGCCCACTATGAGAGCCCTTCTAGAACCGATACTCAAATCCCACCAAACCTCAGCACCCCCTTCCTCCTACGCCGCCGTTTTCCAGGCGCTCACCGGCACAAGCCTTCTCAAACAAGGACAGCAGCTCCACGCGCGATTTCTTCTCTGCGGCCTCCGCCCCGACGGCTTCCTCTCCGCCAAGATGGTCGCCATGTACGCCAGCTCCGGCAACATCGCGTCCGCCTCCGCCGTCTTCCGCTCCGCCTCGGACCCGTCCCCGCTCCTGTTCAACGCCATCATCCGAGGCCTCTCCCTGCACAAACTCTCCCTGGAGACACTGCAGGTCCACGCGCAAATGCGCTCCCTTAATTTCCGCGGGGACCATTTCACCTACCCCTTTGTTCTCAAGTCCGCCGCCGACCTATGCTTTATCGATCTCGGAAAATCCACGCATGGGCTGTGCTTAAAGGACGGGCTGGGCTCAGATATGTATGTAGCAACATCGTTGATCGACATGTACGTCAAGTGCGGCCAATCAGGCTCCGCCCGCAGGCTGTTTGATGAAATGCCTGTGAGGGACGTGTCCTCTTGGAACGTGTTGATTTCGGGCTACATGAGGGCCGGAGCCATTGACCTGGCGACAGAGCTCTTTAACAATATGCCATCGAAAAATATAGTCTCGTGGACGACCATGATTTCGGGCTTCACTCAAAACGGGCTTGCGAGCCAGGCCCTCCAACTGTTCGATGAAATGTCGGGGGAAAATTCAAATATTAAACCCAATTGGGTGACGATTATGAGTGTACTTCCCGCGTGCGGGCAATCTTCCGCGCTCGATCTAGGCAAGAAAATTCACAACTTTGCTCGGGAAAACAGGCTCGACTCTCATCCTTCGGTCCAGACGGCGCTTGTCGGAATGTACGCGAAATGCGGAAGCTTATCCGATGCCCTGTCGTGCTTTGAGAAAATAAAACCGAGCTCAAGGAGTTTAGTCACTTGGAACTCAATGATTACGGCTTATGCGTCTCATGGGCTTGGTCTTGAGGCAGTTCGCACGTTTGAAGACATGGTGAAAGAGGGAGTCCACCCGGATGGGGTCACATTCACAGGGCTACTATCGGGCTGTAGTCATGCCGGACTTGTTGATATAGGGTTGAAATATTTCGACTCTATGAGTTCGGTGTACTTTGTCGAGAAAAGACACGAGCATTATGCTTGCACGGTGGACCTCTTGGGCCGAGCCGGGCGGCTGGTGGAGGCTTACAATCTTATTACGCAAATGCCCCTGCAGCCCGAGGCAAGCGTGTGGGGTTCTTTGCTGGCATCGGCTAGGTGCCACCGTAATCTCGAACTAGCAGAAATGGCAGCTAGAAGACTGTTTGTTTTGGAGCCCGAGAATAGTGGAAACTATGTTGTGCTTTCGAATATGTACGCCGAGGCCCAGATGTGGGCCCAGGTCGACAGCCTTAGAGCCCGTTTGAGATCCGGGAGTGTGAAGAAAAACCCCGGGTGCAGTTGGATCGAAATTGATGGGAAAGCTTATTTGTTTCTGGGTGGAGATGTTTCCCATGTGCAGACAAACGAGATTTACTTGCTTTTGGAGGAACTTTTGGAGAAAATGAAGGCAGTCGGTTATATGCCGGAGACTGGTTTTGCATTGCACGATGTGAGTGAGGAGGAAAAGGAGTATTCTCTGATAATGCACAGCGAGAAACTGGCGATCGCATTCGGACTTCTGAATACGGAACCAGGCAAGGTTTTGAGGATCACTAAGAACTTAAGGATCTGTGGGGACTGTCACACGACGGTTAAGTTCATTTCCAGGATTTACGACCGGGAGATTGTGGTGAGGGATGTGAACCGGTTTCATCATTTTAGGGAGGGGTCATGTTCGTGCGACGATTATTGGTAAAAGGAAAAGTATCGGAAATGAGGTTAGCTGGCTTTTGTTTTTGGATACTTTTTGAATGCACAGTGAGTCGTTTGCTGAATCTAGCAGTGAAAGATAGTTCGGGCAGTCACAAGGGAAGCGTAATCGATTTGCTAAAAGTGCGTACGAGAAATTAAGGTTCTTTCACAAACAACCTGCAATTCTTGCAGCTCGATTCGTAACTCGTAAGTACAGAAACACCCCTCCCTTTGATTTTTGTATTCTCGTTAAAGTTGGGCAATTGAAACACTGGTTTTTTTTTTTTTTTTTGGTTTGAATAGGAAAACAGGAATCATAATCTTCAAGTGGTGCTTGCTTAAATCTGAATGATGTCAGTTAAACAGGTCAAGTAGATCTATGAAGCCATCATTAAGGGTATGTTTTGCTATTCAGTACAGGCAAAAACAAGGGGGAACATGCATTCATGGATTGCTCTTTCCACAGCATGACGTCTAGATTCAAAATAGATATATGTATCAATAGAGAAGTTTCGGTAAATAATATGAGCAATAGTTATAATTTGTTTGGGGGAAAATTAGTTTATTATCAATTTAACAATAAGGATATTTATCAATTATTCAAAACAGCCGATCTCTCAATCTTTGGATTGCCGTAGCATTTGAAAGATAATAATGATACATCTTGGTAAATTAAAGAGAAATCAGAAATGCTACATTCTCGTTGCAGAATCATTCTGTTGGAATTTATAACCGTCAGATCATTATGTAACCGTCGTTGATAGTTGATCTAGCGGTTACAAATCCCGACAGAATAGTTCGGTAACGAGACCATAGAATCTTTCCAAATTAAAAGGTTTAAACAAAAAAGTAGAATAAATAAATTATACATCCCGATAAATTAAAAGGTTTACACAAAAATGTAAAAGTAAATAAGTTACTAAATCAGTTTCTCAAACTTTTATTAGTTATTATTGTCAAGTGTGAATGAAGAGAAAAAAGGCACTATCTCCTTTTTTAAATAAATGTCGTTTTGACTTTTTTGATTCATCCATTTTGCTATGTATCTAGACATATTATCATTTTCTTTTTCATTTTTATTTTTATTTTTATTTTTATTTTCAACGACATTTATTTAAAAAAGGAGGGAGTATTATTTATATGTTCTGAGGAACTGTCACAAATGAAAATAAAAATAAAAATAAAAATGAAAAATAAAATGTTATGGGGTGAGAGAGGCTCGAACTCTCGACCTCAGGATTTCTCTTTAAGCTATGAGACCTACGCGCTAGCCAACTGCGCCACCACCCCGGTTGTGAAAGGTAACAAAGTATAATATTATAAACTTAAATATTTTTCATCCAACCCAACCTTACGTTGGTAGATGAGTTACTTAAATGAAAGTAGTATTGATTACACACTAAATATAACTTTAGTGCACATATAATTTTCAAGTCAACCAAGGCTCGGAACCTATCCAACTTTTATTATAGACTGTGAATTACCATTTGATATAACCCATGAAGCCACAAAGATAATCCCTACTTAAAAATATTTGAAACCGTTGCATCTTTTACATCATTCTTTAAAAAAAAAAAAAAAAAAAAAAAAAATTCTAGATTATAAGTAGTGTTGATGTTGTACAATGTCAAGATTGAGTCCTCTCTGTCATCAAAACACAAACTTTTACCCCTATACATATTATCTTGGTTCCAACAAACTTTTTCCCCAGTGGTATTACGATTATCTTGATTCCTCCACAGGGATAACAGAATATTGATACGAGACATTCTCTATATTGGTGCCGTTTTCTTTAATCTTGGTCCATGATACCCTCCACATTTGTAGTAAACTGACCCTGACGTGCAAGGGGTAAGAAGAGAAATTCATCAATTGTACAACAGCAAAGTAGAGCAAGTATTTGTAAGATTATATATAAATCAAACTCTACGAATAGCAATAGAAGACGACAAAAAAACACCCTCTGTACAAGCAACTTTGCAATTCATACTAAAATCCAGTTGAATGTCTCTCGTAATTTCGTATTTGACAGGTAATCTTTAAGACGTCACCATAGGGAAAGCAAAGTAAATGCCGGGAAGATATGAAGTTATAGAACCTTGAGCTCTAATAAAGATACTGGGAAAATTAACAAGAAAATCTGCTAAAATGGTCATCTTTTCTAATAGTTTCCTCACATGCTATTTTATAGAACATCGTCTGCATAATATAGATCATCCAAGTACCAAGAAAAATTCAGGAACCCATGTTTAGAATAATTTGCAAAACCATAAATACCTCTCTTCCATGGTCTCCCTCTTTGCCAGCATAAGAGTTAAGAACACTGGGACCATAGCAGCACATAAATGCTTAAGTGTGTGCCCACTCACAATATGGTGGGTCAAATTATAAATAGGTATATCAGCTGCTTCTTCAATCTTAGCTAGGAGATAGAACCCTGGAAATACGAATAGAATCTTACTCATCATATCAGAAACTTGAAATGGGTAACACCATAACAGAAGCAAAGTAAACAGAACAAAACCTGCAGCCCAGAGCCAATATGTAGAGTGTGTGTACATTGGAGGTAATAATATAGCCATTACTGGGATTGCTATGCATGGAACAAACTGGACCAAGGCATAAGGACGAAGGTCGTCGAAAAACCTACAAATGAAAAGTTGTTCAGTAAAATATTGAATATTCAATTCCGAAGCTAAAGTGGCAGTCCAGAATACATAATACCATTCGGGATTAGGTTGAGATATTACTCGCGTCCCAAGATTCAAATTGTATGAACCATAGCATTTTCAATCAGATATTAGTTTATGGATGTTCTCTTTCCTTTTCTTTTTTTTTTCTTTTTCCTTTTAAGATAAAGACAAATCAAAGTGATGGAAATCTAAGAAAGAATGGTATGTTTTTAGTTTTTACTGATTATTTGGTGTGAAGTGTTATTTCCAATACGCAATCATCTTATAACCAGTGTTATTGACGGCATAAAATGCTGGCAGCAGGCCGAAGTCCGGCCACGATGGCCTGTGGCACCAACAACCTTCACAGTTATAATGGCGGTTGGCAGAACTCCGCCATGGCGGAAATTTGATCACAGTTCACACTGACACTGCTTATCATAAGGAAGTAAAGCACAAAAGGAAAAGATACAAATTTTTTATGTGAGGCTTCACAACAGAATCAAAGGCATACAAATTATAAAATCTTATCCTGCTGAATATTTACTTCTACATTTCAGTTTTCAGGGAAATGTCGTGTCCACATGTATCAAAATCCAAGACTCAAAGATAAAGGAAACGGAGAGAATCACATTCCTTAGCTGATTAAATAAACAAGATCACATATTGCTATCACAGCTCCTAAATAGCAAAATTGAAATCCTTACCTCCAATACAAAATGCTGACAACACCTGCCAAGAGCAGGGGTAAAATGGACAAGGTTCCTTTGTGCACATCGACTCTCTCGATAATAAAAATAGCAATGATCGATGTAAAGGCCACAGTCATCTACGATAACCACAATTCAAGTGTCAATGAATAGCCTTCATTGTGCGCAAAAAACATCTCGAAAAAAAATGAAAAACGAACATAAAACACACCGGCAAGCGGTCCCACACAAGGCGGGCATCATTAGGTTCCAGGTGATAGTAACAGGAACCAAAAGCAACTGCTGCAACACCAATGAAGAAAAATGTCCAGCCACAAAGCTCGCCCTTCAAGCTTTTCGTTCATACATAGAGAACAAGAGAATGGTGGTGAATTGGTGTATAAATATAATAACCATCACAAATGAACTATTTCGACAAGTTTAAAGAGAAACATCATTATACCTTAGCTTAAAGTAGTTCCCATAGTAGCAAAGCACAAGGCCTACTAGACCCACAAAGAAGAAAGGCACGTTGGAAATCACGTTCAACGCATTTGGTATTCCTGAAAATAGGAAATCAGACAGCAAGTAAACAAAAACGGACCGTTTTCGCAACTAGGGCTTTCTTGAAGCAACTTAAACAATAGTTAATGACATTAACCAAAAACTATTAGCAGCATTGGAAGTTTGCGGCCAAACTCCAGAAAATAAAGCAAAGCTCGTGTTCGGAGAAAAAACCATTACATCTACATGACCAATTTCCACACCACAACAACACTCCAACCCCAACCCCCCTCTCTCAAAAAGAAAAAAGAGAAATACCACAACCATTCTGCAAAATGAAGTCGAAAAACAACTAATTTTTTGCATACGGCTAGAATTCATACTACGACTAAACAAATGACAGGCATCCAAATAAACAAAACAAGCCACCATAACAGGTGCACCCACTTTGTACATAACTCATAGATACCACAAATAAAAAAAAAATAAAAAAAAAATAAAAAAAAAACACGATTATCAGCAAAATCATGATATTGAAAGAAAATTACAGAAAAATAAAGAAAGAATGGCAAAATAATACCAAAAAAATCACGATTATCAGCAAAATCATGATATTCCTGGGACTGAGGAATTGCGGGAGTAACTAACATCAGTACTACGAAGCATACGATCGCAACGCCCCATGCCAACGCCGTTCGTTTCCTCATCTGCCGTCTGAACTTACAGAGTATTGTAGACGATAGCTATCCAAATGGCGATCCTAATTCGGGCTTCTCTTATGTGTGTTGTGCTTGTGTTGGTGTATTATACGGGTGGTGCAGGAATTTATCAAAAGAAAAGGGGTTCTATATATACACAAACAAGTCAAATAGTGTAATCGTATTATTTTATTTAACATTTTAGCAAGCAAACTAGTACAAATTTCCGACGTGGTTCACAAGAAAAAAATATTTTTTTTTTTTCCAAAACGATAGAACTACTATATAAAAGGCGCACAAAAGTGCGGAATTACAAACTGGGAGGCTAGACCGAAGTCCGCCTAGAATCGCTGGCAACGCCAGAAGAAAACCAAACTCAAACACAAACAACTAGAAACTAGCTCCCAACGATAGAAAAAAAACAACTAAAACAGAATCACAAAACAAAAGGCTCCCAACAGGAGAATGCCTAGGTGTTGGCTCCAACAGGAGAATAAAGGTAACACCCAGGTAAACAGGGGCCAACGGCCCAGACCAAAAACACAAAAACACAAAGACAAGAGGCACAAAACACTCACAACACAACACAATCTAAACAAACTAACTACAGACTAGAACTATTACGTCCCCCACAACAGTCGAATCCAGAAGTCAGCCGAACAAACCAAATCCGAAGCCAGCTTCAGAGAACCAAACAAGAAATAAACGAATATAATGTAATTTTTTATCAGTTACGTGCAACGCACTGATTGTGTACTAATTTTAAATAAATAATTTTACGTCATTTTGCACAATTTAAAATTTTACGTAACATTTTCAAGAAATTAATATAAGTACATTTATTACATATTGATTCCAATATTTATAAATATTATTTAACTAGTACAATGCCCGTGTATTACACTGGTGCTTGCTATTTTTTTCTTTAAAATCTAAAATTAATGAGAAAAAGTAGTTGAAATTTATATATATTTTATCAAAATATATATATATATATATATATATATATATATATATATATATTATTATATATTTAGTATGACACTTTTTATTTGTGTGACTTACTTGTATATTTATAAATTAAATTTTTTTATCTTCCTTATATATAATTCTCGAATGCGTTGAGCCTACGTGGCTGTTTTTGGTGCTTCGGAATCCTACTTGGCGAAGAATAATGCTTTGTAATTAGGTTTGGACAAATAATATTGATATATTAATAATTAATAATTTAGGTTCGGACATTCCATAAATATTATTTATAACTTAGGTATTTTAATATCACTTGTACTAATATAACCCTTTAAATATTGAGTCTTCATAAACAAGGAAACATTGCATATTCTTTCTCTGTTCAACTGGAACTCCCACTGCCATAGAATCATGGTTGATATTGTACTGTTTGTTTGCCAAGTAAAACCCCTCCACCTTCGAGCTGCCCGCCGCCGATGGTGGTAAAAAAATCGGCTTTTTTTAATAATATGCTCGTCGCGCGTGTTCTCCACTTGACTCCGGTCCGGCTGAATTTTTGAGGTTCGTTGATCTCTTGTCATCTCCCGGTCATCAATCCACGATCACAACACGAAAAATATAATTTAAAAAATTACATAATCTGATCCTAGATCCAACGAATGGATGAACATGTTTTCTAAACAAATATTTAAAAATATCCGGTCAACCCCTGGGCGAATAATTATTACATACATGCATCCATAAATTCTTCGACATGTCTGAGGCTTTAAAAACAAATTTAAAACCATAAATCACATTCAACAACATTCATCAAACACATAGTCGGCCATAATAGTGGATTAAACTAATTCCTGCAAAACCAAGTTTATGCGATAGATGCATTTGAACACATATTGTCAAATAAAGCTATAAAAATTCAAACTTTGTACAAAAAAGAATTAACCAAGTGCTTTGATACCACTTCTTGGGATCTATGAGAATCTCATTATGTACAAATCACGAATTCAATAGCAAATGTAAACTTATGCACCACGGATCTCAAGGTTTGACGTACAAAACTTATGGCTTAAAATTTATGGTGATCTGGCTGATCTTCAATTGGATTGACCGGGATGAACACACAAACACGTCGGGATCACGAAAGGTACGTCGGGCTCGCAATTGGGTCACGTGGGTCGTGTAGGGTCGGTCGCCAGGGTTGTCCGCGAGTGTGCATCGCGGCTGGTGGTCGCCGCGGGAGGCGCTTTGCGGGCTGGCGGGCGCCGCATGCTTTCGGCTGGGGTCGGCGGTCCTCGGCCTTCAGGTCCTGGATTGTCGGCTTGGTTGATCTCCGGGGTTAATAAATATATATAGCTCAATTACCACGGGATCTTCTACTGTATATCTCAAACACCCTCTTCAACTTGTACCAGTGGAGCAACAATAAGAAGATAAAACTTGAATAAGAAATGAGAGAGAGAGAGAGAGAAACGGCGCGGCGCGTGTGGATTTCGTGTCCAACTCTCTTCTTATCACGAGCTTAATGATGTATATATAGAGCTACAGTATGGACCCTTAGGAGATTATGAATATGGCTCATTAATTAATTAGACTAACTGTCGGCCAAACCCATTATTCTAACTAATTAAATAATATTATGGGCCACCAACATAATATTATTGCACTCTATTTTTCTAGCTCAATTTATAATTGAGACTCCAATTATAATTACCCGAATTACCTCCCATTGTTTAAGATATAATGTTCATTAATTAATTTGATTACAGATAATCAAGAATTAATTAATTTATTATTATTTCACCGAAACTAGCGCTCGTTCGTCACAATATTACTATGCTGAAATTTAATCCACCTGCACGTCTTAGCATAATAATCATTCATGAACTCACTTTGAGGGCATCATCAATGGTGACCATAAATATCCTAATAGCACATCATATATACAGTAATATTACCCAAGACAGTAGTAATATTAATTCAACGAACTGAAGCTCGCCCAAGTGAATCAAAAAATATTTACTGCATATATATGTCTATTTAATATCTTACGGGTTAAGAGAACACAATAATAAACTGAGGCCTAGTTTGTTTACGACGGTAAGTATAAAACGAACTTCTCATCTCTGGGATCCTGTTCAATACATAAATGTACTAGTGCAACTAATCAGTCAAGACAAATTGTACCGTTGACACTACACCTGTGCGGGATGGGGTGTTCATTTCCATTTAGGTTGTAAACCATTATTCTTGTTTCGCAAATGACTGATAGAATGATCTTCGGTTCAGCCGATGACGACCCACTCTATCTAAGTGCAAAATAACAGAACATATAACTTGTTTAATCTAATATGATTCTCATTCATAAGGGGTAAAAGTTTAATATCATCCAAAGCCAAGTTTTCAGTATATGACACTAACAATTAAGACAAATAGCCAAAGCACGCAAGCCTGACATTTAGGCTCAACAAATTCGAGAATTATATATAGGGTGATTTTAAACTTTATGAAGTATAATAATTATTTTTTATTATTTTCATTATCATTTTTTTTTAAAGATCATTATAATATTCAATCTCTATGTAGTTTATATGTAAATTGAGACATAAACTTTTAAAATATTTATTTATATAAATTTGATGTTCATACTTAGTTATACATTTTTGTGTTCTCAAAATAAAATAACTATATTTTATAGTATGTTAATATACATAAATTTCATTACTCTATGATATAATTTATATTTTTATTTGATATCTTTTAATTTAGTTTGATAAACAAATTTAAATTTTATTTATAAGGATAGATATTACTGTTTTTTATTTATTATATATAATTTGGATGTCAAGTAGAAAATTGTTAAAAGATAGTTAATTTGATATCACATATATGGAAAAATAAATACAAACAAAAAATTTATAAAATCTTAAAATAAGAAGAAGAAACATTTATAATAATTAATGAATGATTTGAATAAGAAATGTAATGTAATGTATGGTAATATAAGAAAATGAAGCATAAAATAGTTTATGGTAATTAATTGTGGATGTAAAGAAGGAAAAAAAACCGATCATGGATTTAGTGTGATAAAAAATATTAATTATTGCACCAAAATAAGGTATTAATTTATATCTATGTGTAACTCCGAAGCATGATTTTTTGCCAAATAAGAATATGAAGCGTGGGGGTTTGCCACTTAGATTCAACACATTTTGAAATTATATATAGGGAGTAGTTAAATTTTCATTATCACTAATTATGAATTGGAACTCTAAAATAACGAGTGAAATAAACATATAACTCGTATATTAAATATTTATATATCGTAAAATCAAACAAAATTATTAATATTTAAAACTATTTTTATATTAATTAACATTTATTAATACATATAGGGTAAATAATTTTTTCCAACTGGTACTATACGTGCTTTTGAGATTTTCAACATAAAGTATTTTTTTATTGTAAAATGCAACATGAACTACATATACAGTCACTATTTGCACGTTTGACCATATCTTCACCACACGTGCCTTTTTTTTTGCAGAGGATCGAATGGTCAAAAGTAGTCGAATATATATATATAGTTGAAGTTGTATTTTACAATAAAAAATACTTTAGATTGAAAATATTAAAAACACGTATAGTACAACTTGTGTCGTGCCCGCACTGGTTAAGTGAAAAGGCGCGTGACGTCGACACTACCCGCCCCCAATAGCCCCATCTCCGCTACCACGATAAAACCCAAGCCCCCGCCATCGACTGCTCCTTTTTCATTGTATATACTCCTAAGCATATATAAAGCGAGGAACCCTAAGCAGTAGCAGCCTCCTCCTCTTGCCTATCCCTCTTCCCATCCCTTAAGCAGAAAAAAACCGCGGGGAGTGGCAAATGGCGCAGTCGCTGGAGCTTCTGCTGATTCAATTTCTTATGCCGGACAATGACGCCCGGCGGCAGGCGGAGGACCAGATTAAGCGGCTGTCAAAGGATCCGCAGGTGGTCCCGGCGCTAATCCACCACCTCCGCACGGCCAAGACCCCTAACGTCCGCCAGCTCGCCGCTGTTCTCCTCCGCAAGAAAATTACCGGGCACTGGGGGAAGCTAACACCGCAGCTCCGCCAGCTGGTTAAGCAATCACTCATTGAGAGCATCACTGTGGAACACAGGTCGGCTTGATATTTTTATTCGACTTCTAAGCACATTTATATCTAATTCACTGTTCCGCCTCATTGAGAATTGGTGGGTCGGATTTCTTTTATCTTTATCAGTAATTCGATTGAAGGCTTTTTATAAATAACTGAGTTGGAACTGATTCATTTTGAATTTTGGATGGGTTTTGGATAAAGTTTGTTTTCAAGACCGTCTTTCATGCTATCAGATTCAATTGATGTGTTTTTCCGACCTTGACTGTGTTACATAGCCCCTCACTCACCCACCAACTTAAATTGTTTCAGTGTTTATTATGTGCGGCTTTTATTTTCTCGGCCTGGTTAATATTCATACACCAAGTCCCCTTTAATCTTTGTATTATCTATCCACAAATCAATTCCATAGTGAATATTGCGTCTTTATTGACAAATAATATTGTGATTATGTTGGCAAGAGGATTGTTATATATTGAAGATAATCTTTTTGCATCGCTTGTCTTCCTTCAATGTTCACAGTTCATAGATGTGCTATATCAGGGATGCCATTTGTTCTCTAGTTCTGTTTGAATATGGTGTTACTGTCAGAATGATTTATGGCTTACTCATATTGGCAGTCCACCGGTAAGGCGGGCTAGTGCGAATGTGGTGAGCATCATTGCAAAATATGCTGTCCCAGCTGGGGAATGGCCTGATTTGTTACCATTTCTATTCCAGTGCAGTCAAAGTGCTCAGGAAGAGCACAGAGAAGTATGTTTCCTCTATTCTGTAGATGTTCATTTAAGGTCCCATGTTCATAAGTTCCTATTCCTGTTTCGTATTATTTGTCTCCTCTATTCTGTAGATGTTCATTTAAGGTCCCATGTTCATATGCTACTATTCCTGTTTCGTTTTATTTGTCTAGGTTAGTCCATTGACGGTCAACCTGATCTTGACCATTTCTTTTTGTTATATGATTTTTTGATGTGAGTTTTCGTCAAAGTACGTGTACCTCGTAAGAATCTCGGCAGTGTGTACTAGCAATATCATGGCATGAACATATGTAAGAAGTCAGTACCTAAATTCGTTTATTTATAGACTGCACACACGATCTTTTTCCTAATACTATATCTCTTTAAGGACGTCCTACCATAAGACGAAATGCTTTCTTCATCTTCTATGGAATGTTGTCAGACACAGTTCTACGCATTCTGTAAAGTTTTGACATAAATCTCCTTCCACCGTTATTTCTTTAGAGAAAACGCACACATGCTGATGTTACAATTCTTGATTACTTGATAGATCAAAATATTCAGTTGAATTTCTGTTTTGACAAGCTAAACTATATATCTGTAAGCTTATTTATTACATTTTATATTTTTTATAATTCTTACTTATTCATTTCTTATACATTCCATAAACTAATAATTTATTTGATCCTAGGTGGCCTTGATACTCTTCAGCTCCTTGACTGAAACAATTGGGAATTCATTTCGACCATATTTCACAGATTTGCAGTCTCTGCTACTCAAGTGCTTACAAGATGAAACCAGTAATCGCGTTAGAGTTGCTGCTCTCAAGTACTGTTTATGTGGAAACTTGTTTGGCAGTCTTTTTCGTTCTCAGGATAATTGAGCAAGGCTACTTACACATTTTTTGTTGTATCAGGGCAGTTGGTTCCTTTTTGGAGTTTACTCATGATGAGGCAGAAGTGGTGAGTTTTAAATATTCATATGCTCTTTCATGGATTCAGTCATACTATGAATCAATACTTTTATCTTACAACAAAAGGATGATGTATTTGTCTGCAACATGTGTGGGGTCTCTATTTGTGACCGAACTCATGTTTGTCATGCCAATTTGAAAGTATATCTGCTAGGTTGTGAAACTTTTGTGAATCCTTGTCAAGCGTTCCTTAACCAGTAGCATTGCATCCTTTAAATGATGAATGCATATGCTCCCTTTCCTTAATTCATTATTTTTAGTTTCTTTTTATAACTTTCTGTGCCTCTTTTAGAGGCTCATCATAGGGCTTCTTCTATTGGCTAGTGTGAACTCACTTCTATTCTATATCAAGATAGGGGCTTCAGTACTTGGCTGCAACATGTGTGGGGTCTCTATTTGTGACCGAACTCATGTTTGTCATGCCAATTTGAAAGTATATCTGCTAGGTTGTGAAACTTTTGTGAATCCTTGTCAAGCGTTCCTTAACCAGTAGCATTGCATCCTTTAAATGATGAATGCATATGCTCCCTTTCCTCAATTCATTATTTTTAGTTTCTTTTCATAACTTTCTGTGCCTCTTTTAGATTGAAGGAAATTTGGGAATATTTTCCTACTAGTACAACACCCGTGTATTACACGGGTGCTTGCTATTTTTTTTCTTAAATTTAAAATTAATGAGAAAAAGTAGTTTGAAAATTTAAATACCTTTTATAAGAATATATATATTATTATATATTTATTATGATACTTTTTATTTGTGTGACTTACTTGTGTTATATTATATTAATTTTTTAACTTACAATATATAACTACATTAAATATAAACATATCAATTGAGAAATAATTTTATTTTTCTAATAAATTTTAATAAATATTATTATTTTTTATTACTATAATGATAAATATAATTAATTTTATTTTATATATACAATATGGATGTCAAATCGAAGATCATCAAAAGATGATTAATTTGATATATTATATATGTAAAAGCGATAAGAAATACAAAAGTTATCAACTTTTAAAATACATTTATAATTCAATAGCTTATTGAAGGAAGCAAATCAAAATTTAGGGATATATTAGTCACTTAGTGCTTCACTATGTAAAATTACAAATAATTAAAGGGTTATATTAGTAAAAGTGATATTAAAATACCTAAGTTAGCTAAATAATATTTATGGAATACCCGAACCTAGATTATTAATTATTAATATATCAATATTATTTGTCCAAACCTAATTACGAAGCATGATTCTTCGCCAAATAGGATTCCGAAGCACCAGAAGCAGCCACGTAGGCTCAGCGCATTCGGGAATTATATATAGGGAGGATTTCCAAAATATTATATTCAATTCTACTTAAGGTTTTGAAAACCGGACCGGTCATCGAACCGGTCAAGCTACTGGTTCAATACCAGTGGTTGAACCGGTTAGACCGGTATTTAATTTATTATTTTTTTTAAACATATATAATATTTTATATAATAAAAGTATATATAAAGTTTTATTAATCAAATATTAGACAATTTAAAACATTTAAATACTTAATAGTAACTTATATATAGCCATTAATTTAAATATGTATTTTTATTTAAATATATATATATTTTTTTTTTCATTTGATTGACAAAAATAAAAAAAATGAAAATTGATAAGTGCATTTTATTTTAGTATGTAAAAACCCGTTTTCCATACTTGCGTTCACTTAGTTAAATTTAATCATTTATAAATTTTAGCTAACAATAAGTTTAATTAAAGATAATGAGATATTCATCTTGACATGATAAACATTTGGTGTGTGTTAAAGGCTTAAAGCAACGGTAGAGTCCCAAATCGATTTTGAAAGAATAAATAAAGGAAAAAAGTGACAATTAAGGGCTGGGACATCCCACATCCATTTTGAAAGCGAAACTAAAGGCAAAAAGTGGCTACAAAATTCTGGGACAACTTCAATTTATAATCATCCCACATCGGTTAAGAAAGCCAAATAGAAGGCAGAGAATGGCTATAAATACTGGAGCCATGTTGGTTTACAATAAAAAATTAGGATCTACAATTCAAAGTCAAATAGTGAGAATCGTTCAACCGAATGAACCGCTAACGGTTTCCCGGTTTTACCGGTTTTGAACCGGTTTTGAGTCACAATGGTTCAATGCCTCAACCGGACCAGAATTAGTTCCAGTTCCCGGTTGAAACGGTCGAACAGGCCGGTCCGGTCCGGTTTTGACAACCATGATTCTAGTCATAATATGGCTTAAAGCTGAAAGTTCATCTGATCATGGAGTTGTAACATTTGAAAGAGAAAAGGAAGTCTTATGAGCTAAGTTATATTTTATACGGGTCTTATGTGTTTGCAAAGGGTAAGATTCTAAAGTTCATAAGAATATGAAGTTAGAACCTTGTGTTTTTCATAATTTATCTATTAGACTGGTGTTTATATATGCAGCAAGCTGCTGATTGTAGTTTAACACTTTGACCCAAACTCATTATTATCCTGGTAGAAGAGCATGATTTTTCTACATTTTTGCTTCTTTTAACCGAAAATGATCCGAAGTTGCAATTTGCGTCTTAACAATAATTAGTAACTGAGAAATGGATTACGATTATTTCTTTGCATAATCAAACGTATTTTTAGTGATTAGTGAAGTTTCTAGAAAAAATATATCAAACGACGCAACGCACCTTGGGTCGCTATGGAAACAGCCTCCTTGTATAATTACAAGGGTAGGGTAAGGTCTGCGTACAACTGACCCCCCAGACCCCAACCTGTTGGGAATATACTGGGTATGTTGATGTTGATGTTGATGTTGATGTTGATGATGAGTGATAGGCTTTAACTTTTGAAGTATGTATCTTGATTCAGGTATAGCTTTCTATTATTTTCTTGGCGGCTAATGCATGTGTTTTACAGATTAAGTTTCGAGAGTTTATTCCGAGCATTTTGAATGTATCAAGACAATGTCTTGCTTCTGGTGAAGAGGATGTAGCTGTGATTGCTTTCGAAATATTTGATGAGTTAATTGAGTCACCTGCTCCTCTTCTCGGGGAATCTGTAAAAGCCATTGTTCAGTTTTCCCTTGAAGTTTGTGCGAGTCCTAATCTGGACTCTAACACACGCCATCAGGTTAGCAGCACATATTGGCAGAAAGGTTATATAGTAATTATTAAGAGCGAAATACAAGTGCTTATGTCTTGCTCTTTTGCGTTTATGTTATAGGCTATTCAAATTATTTCATGGCTTGCAAGATATAAATCAAGTTCCCTCAAAAAGTACAAGTTGGTTGGGCCTATCTTGCAAATTATGTGCCCTTTGCTTGCAGAATCAACTGACCGAGATGAAGATGATGATCTTGCACCCGATCGAGCTGCTGCTGAAGTTATTGATACAATGGCTTTAAGTCTGTCAAAGCAAGTGTTTATTCCTGTTTTTGAATTTGCTTCTCTAAGCAGTCAGAATGCCAATCCAAAGTTCAGGGAAGCTTCAGTTACAGCTTTAGGTGTTATTTCAGAGGGTTGTGGGGAATTGATGAAAGACAAACTAGAACCTGTCCTCCATATTGTCTTGGGAGCTCTTAGAGATCCTGAACAAATGGTTCGTGGGGCTGCATCTTTTGCACTTGGTCAGTTTGCGGAACATCTGCAGCCTGAGATTTTATCTCACCATGAAATTGTTCTTCCATGTATTTTGAATGCCGTCGAGGATTCATCTGATGAAGTTAAGGTAAATGCTATGATTATTAGCCGGTTTGCTCTTGAATTTCCTCCTTCCTGGATTTAAAGAAGCTATTGTTTGTAATTTAACAGGAGAAGTCATATTATGCCCTTGCGGCATTTTGTGAGAACATGGGAGAAGAAATACTTCCTTTTCTGGATTCTTTAATGGGAAAGTTACTTGGTGCCCTCCAAAGTAGTCCACGTAATTTGCAAGAGACATGCATGGTACAATACTAGTGCGTTTGCAACTAGCACATCAAATTGCTTAAATAGTCATCGTTCTCAACATAATGCTTGCTTTTATTGTAGTCTGCTATTGGTTCAGTCGCGTCTGCAGCAGAACAGGCTTTTGTCCCATATGCTGAGAGGGTACTTGAGTTGATGAAAATATTTATGGTGCTTACAAATGATGAGGACCTCAGGGCACGAGCAAGGGCAACTGAGTTGGCGGGAATAGTTGCAATGTCTGTTGGGAGGGCAAAAATGGAACCAATTTTGCCTGCCTTCATGGAAGCTGCAATCTCTGTAATATTTACTTCACTTTTGAATACCCAGGCCAGAATTTGTCATCTTCATATAGACTATTTATGGCCTTTGTTTATCCAGGGTTTTGCTTTAGAATACAGTGAGCTTCGGGAATACACTCATGGATTCTTCAGCAACGCTGCGGAACTTTTAGAAGATGGTTTTACCCAGGTAGTAGTATTTCCATGAAATTGTCATCTTAATAAGAAAACTGTAAACTAAACAAGTGCATTGTATCTTGGAACAGTATCTTCCCCATGTAGTTCCTCTGGTTTTTTCCTCCTGCAACCTTGATGATGGCTCTGCTGTGGATATTGATGACTCTGACGGAGATGAAAATGTCAATGGATTTGGTGGTGTTTCATCTGATGATGAAGCGCATGACGAACCTCGAGTACGTAATATTAGTGTAAGAACTGGTGTTTTGGATGAAAAAGCAGCTGCTACTCAAGCTCTGGGCTTATTTGCTCTTCACACGAAGAGCTCCTATGATCCGTATCCTTTGTGATTCTTCATAAATATACATCCTGAATTATAAATGGAAACATGAATAATATTTGGATGCCTTGATTTAAGTTAAGGTATATGGAGGAGTCTTTGAAGATTTTAATTAGGCACTCGACATACTTCCACGAGGATGTTCGTCTCCAGGCAATAATTTCACTGAAATGTGAGTGGTTATTATTGTAGATCCTCTTGTTATCCTGATAATGATCCATCATAAGCCTGCTTTAATTCATTCATACTCGACACATTCTTCTGCATATTTGATTCTTCAACATTTCATGGGTTCTTATTAGCCTTTGTTTTCATGAATCATACTCGAAACACTGGATTATACCATTATACTAGTGTCCTTGAGATCAAATTTTGTAAATTTTTCTAACCATGCTATATGTGGGTGTTTGATAAAATGCTGAGATGACAACTTTTTGGAAAACCTGGGCTGACTTACAAAGTGTTCAGTTGGGATATAACTTTTCTAACATATCTTCTGGTTTTGTCATGTTTGATGTTTCTGTTTCACAGCAGATTTTCTTAAAAAATCACTCAGTTAGATGGGAAACCTGTACTGGATTATGATCTTCCTGTTTCACAGTTAAATTTTCTTCCGTTTGTCTTCTTAAGCGTGATGCATGCCTATGCTTTCTAGATATGCTATTGTGAAGATCATATGATATATGGAGCTGTCTAATGAGCACTTTTATTATCGGATTTTTACTTCTGATTAATTTTTCATTGACAGATATTTTGACAGCTGTGCAAGCAGTTCTGCAGAACAATAACGTAAGTACGAAATAACCACATGCCTTTTTTGAGAAATTTCGTGTTTTTTTTTTGCCAGAAAATTAAGTTTTTCTATGGAAAATTTTATGTTTCATATTGCTAAAATTAATAGGTTGGCAGTTTATCCTTGTGCGACCAATATTTATATCGTTGGATGGTGAACATCTTTCGTTAAGTTGTTTAATAACTAACACTACCGGTGGTCCATGCTGTATTTGTGTTATTTAAAACTGTTGAATTTTTTCTTTAACATTTAACTTATGAGACTTTAAATTGATGCATTTTTGCAGGAAGGAATTGCAAAAACAAAAGAGATTCTTGGTGAGCAATATATACCTGTCCCTAATTATAAACTAAGGATTCTTACACTGAAATTATTTGTTAGAAAAGTAATTTATGGTTTTTCTGTCTACAGATACTGTGATGAATATTTACATTAAGACAATGTCCGAAGATGATGATAAGGAAGTTGTCGCTCAGGCCTGCATGAGCATTGCTGAGATAATCAAGGATATTGGATACATGGCTGTTGAACCTTGTGAGTTTGTGAAACTTGACAAGCTTTTCTCAATGTTTTGTTGCTTCTTATTCTGGCCAAAGAACCTTACAACATAATATTTTCTTTTTAATATTCCTACCTCAGACATGCCTCAACTTGTTGAAACAACTTTGATATTGCTTCGTGAGGAATCTACTTGTCAGCAGATAGAATCGGACAGTGAAAATGATGATGATGATACTGTACATGATGAAGTGCTCATGGATGCGGTTTCTGACCTCCTTCCAGCATTTGCAAAGGCAATGGGTGCTCAATTTGCTTCTATTTTTTCACAGCTGTATGAGCCATTGATGAAATTTGCGGTCAGTGAGCTGCTGCTTTATCCATTTGTCATATGAAATGAATACTGCTTGCATTTTGTTTATTTTATATGATTCTTCGTAATTGATGATTACAGAAACAATCACGGCCACCACAAGATAGGACAATGGTTGTTGCAACCCTTGCAGAAGTTGCCCAGCATATGGGTGCTCCAATTGCTGGCTATATTGATGTAAGTTTTAGGAATTGTGTAGAGTATTACTCAATTAGCTAACTTTCTAGATCTTTATATATTGATTTGCTCCAATTGACACTGTTACAGGCTGTAATGCATCTTGTACTCAAAGAATTGGGATCTTCACTGGCAACCAATAGGAGAAATGCCGCATTTTGTGTGGGTGAGCTGTGCAAGAATGGAGGCAATTCTGCGTTGAAGTATCCTTCTGTTTGTCAAAAACTTTTAGATTTAGTAACTCCGCAGGATACATGCAAAAGTAAATGGTTTTTACAAATAATATCCCAGCCTGTTGTGTTGAATAGGATTTCATTTTAATTCACTATCTAGAATTTTCTCATTTATTTTTAGCAGCGTTCCTTTCTTTTGCAGCCTTAGCTTTCGGGACTTAAATTATGATCTGATTTATGGCCACCTTTAACTTTGTGTTCATATTTGTTCTCTTTTTGTTCGTGATCCTTACATTTGGAATAGATACTATACTGATGTTTTAAATCGCCTTTATCCATTATTTGGAGTGTCTGAGCCTGATAATGCAGTGAGGGACAATGCAGCTGGTGCTGTGGCAAGGATGATTATGGCTCACCCTGATTCTATTCCGTTGAACCAGGTTGACCTTCTAGATTATTTCCCTTCCAAGATGGATTTCAATTTTGCCATAGTGATGTATTTACTCAGTTTTATTTGTCAGGTCTTACCTGTATTCTTGCAAGTGCTTCCTTTGAAGGAGGACTATGAGGAATCAACAGCAGTCTATGGATGCATCTGCAATCTAGTTTTATCTTCTAATTCTCAGGTATTTGAATTATTTTTACAAAAAGGTATTTGCATTTTGTTGACTTGGGATTGTTTAGTCCTGTCTATCCTGTTAGTATTCTCCCCTAACAACGTGTATGGATATTTCCCCGATTCGCAGATACTTTCTTTTGTTCCACAGCTGGTTAATATATTTGCTCAGGTGGCTGTATCATCTGTTGAAAGACCTGAAATTAAGGCACATATAGGCAGGGCATTCTCCCACCTGTTATCACTTTACGGCCACCAAATGCAGCCCATCTTGGGCAGTCTTTCACCTGTGCATGCTAATGCTTTAGCGGCTATTGCACCTAAGAGCTGAGACATTGTGTATGATCCTTCCCCAGTTGCAAGCTTCCAATGTGGGATGAGATGATGGTGAGAAATTGATTTTCATAGAAAAGTATTAAATTTATCGGCCACCTCAGTAATGCCTAATAGTTTATACATTGCATTTGTCAAATTTAATCTGCTGTACATTAGATTTTGTTGGAAGAGGAAAACCCTTATTGGGGGTTAACCCTTGTGGCACCCTTTGGTTTCAAGTTCATTTGTTGGGTTCTTTGTTGGTGCTAGAAATTGAATTTAGTTAGACGTGGAGTAATATATATGTATAAATACATGAAATCAGACCTGATCACTCGGGGGACATAGAATTTGTCAATGGGGTTCATGTAGCAAGTTATATCCATATTTACGACAAATTTCAGTTTCTGAAATTATAATTCTTATATTGTTGAATTTTGCAGGTTTTTTTGTTTTTGGCTTGCTTCCCGCTTCGGCCCTCCCATTTCTCCAGTCCAGGGATGTATCATCCCCTCAATTTTGGTGTGTATTTTGTGTGATTTGTTTGAATGTTTCGGGTGGTGTTATTTTAGAGTTTGCGCTATATAGTAGCTTAAAACCAAGTAATGG